AGAACAAGATGGTTATTAACTTGTATTACTGTTCTTAGTCGGGTCTCAGAGAAATGAGAGGAGAAAGACTATGTTTCTCAGAAAGGTGTGATTATCTCCAGAGGAACAGGATTTAGTCTATCAGTGAAGCCCATCCTGGACCTGCCTGAGAGCGCTGGAATAATTACAAAAACAACTTTATCTGTAAAATCAGTTACTGCCACTACTGCTCCCCTTAATAGAAATCTGATACCGAGTTACAAAATCAAAGATGAGCATTTTGCTGTCTTACGTCTATGAGCTGCAGGCTGGAGGTGACTCAGTGAACAAATGTACTGCTTTGGTCTAATTTCTGGCATGTACAAAAACATTGGAGTGTACAGCAAAACAGCAAACTGAAGGCATTGTGTTTGGGTAGGTGCAGTGGTTGCTAACACAAACAACTCTATCTATCTATCTATCTATCTATCTATCTATCTATCTATCTATCTATCTATCTATCTATCTATCTATCTATCTATCTATCTATCTATCGTTCACAAGACAGATGATATTGTATTGTCTGTTTCACTGTTTCAGTGAATAAAAAGAGACACAGATCATGGAGAGTACAAGGCTGACGACCACTGAGTAGATACGGTTAATTAACGGTTTCACCTAAAAAAAAAAAAAAAAAAAAAAAAAAAAAAAAAAAAAAAAAAAAAGAGAAATTTTCAAAAAAAAAAGGTACTCAACCTTTAATCAATAACCTTTTCAATCTCTTCATCCAGCTGGTAATCACTCTGACTCAAGCATGCTCCATCTGTTTCAATTATGTTTGGCTTTCGGAAAAACATTCACCGTTTCATAGTTCCCTTGCACCGGGTCATGAATGGGCAAAGGGAATTATTCTCATTCGTTCTCTGCACAGATTAATCTGGGCACACACTGTTCAATTTTTAGACCATTTTCAGATGACTTTTGCAACCAGGTTGAGTTTCGACTTAATAGTGTTTTGTGCATTGTGTAGAATAAAAAACGGGCGACAAGCAGCGATTAGCACCTCACCACCAGCTTCTGATCAACAACCTACAGTGGGAGGAAAATTTTAATTCTGGTTGTTCTTTGTGAAGCTATCTCACTTTTGAAGCAGAGTCATGAGTCAAATTTACCTGAAACTCTCACAAGTCATTCACTATAACACTACTCAGGAAACTATATAAGTAACCTAGCTTATGATAAGTAAGTACGAAAAGCAATATAATAATTGAATGTTACCAGATGTGTTTAGAGGATGTGACCACTACCTGGACAGAGTCCGGTCCCTGTGTTCAGGTTCTGTGGCAGACTGGCAGTCAAGGTGGCTAAGAGAAAGCTGCCTGCAAGGAGTGAAGAGGGCAAAACAGGCCATATGCATCCAGAGGATCCAGGTCCACCAGCGATTCACAGAGTGTGGAGGGGTACAATGTTCATCCCAGAGGATAACATCAAAGATGCTCAATGCCCCAGAGAGATCTCCCTGCCAGATGCTTTCAGATTCAGATTCTATATCTGATTTGAGGAACCAAACATCTCCCTTAGCACCAGACCTAGGCCTCAACCAGGAGAAGATACACCGTGTGTAACGGATATTTTAAACACCTCTCTTCTTCAGACTTGAAGACCGCCACAATCATCCCCATCCCCAAAATGTCCACATTGACAAACCTGAATGTCTACTGTCTGGTAGCCTTCACCCTGATAGTCACGAAGCGCTTTGAGAGACTGGCCAGGGCTGTGTTGACCATACAATAAATGTTTATGTTTTGTGGTGGTCAGTATAAAAATTGCTTTCCTGGAGTCAACTTTAGTGTTTTTATAGCAAAACTAAAATCCTGTTGTCTAACCCCGGGAGCTCTTAAGGTTTACCCTGGGATTGGGTGGTGAGGGGTGGGGGGCTTTGTGTGAACAGGGATGTTTTGGACATGATGGTTTGAATAAAATTATTATTTTATCTGTCATTTAGTCATTAAGACAATTTTTGGGGAAAAATGTTGCGCTACAGAATCTCTTTAGTTGCATCGAGGACAAACAGGTCTTTACACTGTGTCAGAGAACGGTGCAAGGCACTCCATTCTCCTCCACTGGCATAATGTAACAGCATGAGGTGATGAGGAGTGGGGTGTTGAAAGTCATTTCCTAAATAAACAGAAAAGAATTTGCAGAAGGCCTGGCCTGTTGTTTTAACTTAGGGTCGACTTCCCAGAACAATAACAAGCGAGATGACTTTCTCACTGCTGGATTTCAGCTCTTGTGCGTCTATACACTGATTTCCAATGGTGTGAAAACCAAAGTTTGAAACCAGAGAAAACGACACATCTTCATCATCTTCAGTCTCCAGCTCCTCTTGTCTATTTGCTGCCACCCCAAGTTACCCCAGTGCTCTTTGTCTCTCTTGTGCACTGCTGGTTGATTTGAATGGTGAAGCCCTGGTGGTTAAACTCGCCGACCTTCTGCACAGCAACTCCTTGCATCTCCACCAGCTGTGTTTCCTTCACAAATGTGCTCAAAACTTTGTCACTATTCCACTAAAGTAAAAAAAAAAAAAAAAAAAAAAAAACACCCCACAATATTGCAATTGCAATGTTTCCAGTAAATGAGAAACAATTAAAATCACTTGTGAATAAGTTTGTTCAAGTGATAAGTTATTAAGAAACACAATCCTCCAACTGCTTCTTGCCATCTTCTTCACTGTGGTTTGTGCCAGTGATAACATCTGGTTGTTGATCATGTGACTTGTGTGATGTAGAAAAAGTGTTTCCATTGCAGTTTTGGGAAATAAACCAAATTTGATGCTGCAACCCCCCGCCCCAAAAATAAACACCTGGTCCCAGTCCTAGTTTAATATATCTATATATTATCTGTTTTAGTTTGAATCCCAGGTTCCTCTTCCCCCATCATGACATTTAATGTAAGGAGTTTTGAAAATATTCCCCTGGGAAATAGGAGTCTCCATCAAGAAGCATCATCAGCTCTTATTTTTAATTAGGCAGATTGATGTGACTTAATATATCAGTAAGTGTTGTGGATCCTATATTTTAATTTAATAATGTATTACAAATATACAATAAGAAAAAATGTTGACCACTTAGTTTATATTTGTTCAGAAGCAGAGGACTTTATTGGGTCTACTAATCATTAACGTTGCGAAAACGATTCTCTCTGCCGTCATACATAACCTTGCGGGACATGCCAGTATAAATCTATTGGATTTCATATGATGTTGGTTCACTCATCAAACTCTGATATATAGTGTATTTTCTTGTTTGTTTTTGCAACAACATGTCAAAAAACAAAAACCAACCAATATCTTTTCCTTTTCAAACATTTGATTCTGCTTATTGTGAAGAAAAACATTGGCAAGAAATGAACCACAGTGGTAACAAGAATGAAACATTGGGTCTTTTTGGCTTCTATAATGACTTCTATAATTATTAATAATAATGAACAGTAGGATTACATGTTGGAACGTTTTAAATAAACTATGTGAAACAACAGCCATCCCTTTATGATTTGTTGAATTTTTTCAGTCCTCTCACTCTTGGGGGTTGAGTTAAACAATCAGTTTAAAAGGCCGTTGACCTTTCTCTTTGACCCCTCTCTCCCTTAGCAGGGTGTTATCTGGACCAATCATCTTTCCACTCTCCAGCCTCTGTAAATCTGCCCCCACCTCTTCCTTCCTCTCTTCTTCCTGATTCAGGCACTTCATTGTGATAGCAGGATTTTAAATCTCTCACCTGCCCTGCAACCGCCTCTACATTTTGTCTGTAATCTTTAAAAGCACAAATGGTAAGCATAGATATTTAGAGTATTGGAGGCATTTCTTTGGGGTTTCTTTGCATTTAATGAACTTTATGATTATGGTTCTGAAAAGGATTTTTGTTTCTGAACTCAAAAAGCTGATGAAGGCTGGTCCTTCAATCTTTTCCCATTTGAACAAAGCTTACTTTCAGTTTGCTTTATATGCTTACAAAAGCACTCTGCAAATGACAAGATTTCCTTCAACATACCAGTAGTTCAATTCTTTATCTACACGAAAACTCAACAATAAATTTAATTTATTGAAGTATTCAACTTCCATGAACCTCATTGTCAAGTTATGAGTACATTAGTATTTTTAGTGAGCATTTCTGAAACAGTTTTTCTTTTGTTGCACTAGAATGAAGAGGATTTACGATTTTCAACATCTCCAAAGTTTAATGTGCGTTTCTTTAAGCCCCCAGTGATATAATAATTTATTAAAGTTACTGAGAAGTCACCTAATAAGGAAACAGAATTCCCCTGTGTGTAATTTAATCTCAGGATAAATCCATTTGTTCTGTGAAGGGATCAGGCTTGTTAGAGGACATTGGGGAACTAATGGAGACCAAGGAACAGCAGGCAGGTCAGAGAGGACAGCGTGGTGAATCCTGGAGGAAAACCTGTAAAAAGCTCCAAAAGATTTGGGGCTGGAGAGAAAGATCGTCTTGCAGCAAGAAAACTACTGCAAATATAAAACCAGAGTTAGAAATGGAATGGTCTGGATCCAAGAATATTTAATTCTTCCAGATTCAATTCAATTCAATAGCGCCAACTAGCAACAAGTTTCCCCTTTCTTCCCTTTCTGTTTATTCAGTCGAGTATTTGTTTAAACTGTTTTATGATGTGCTTAAATAAATGTGACATTAAGACTTGCTGCTCTTTTACTTGACTATTTTGTCTGGATGGTTAACCTTTTCACTTTCCTCCTTAAATAATTGAAGCAGATTTTTCAGGCAATTGGTACAACAATGATTTATGGCCCTGAGAAACTTGACTGCTTTTGAGTATCATTTTTTTTTTTGAAGAAGAAGAAGAAGAAGAAAAAATCTGAGAACATTTTGGTGAAGATATTTTTTTAAAACCCAAATTCCACAGTTTCTTTTTTCTATTTAAAAGAGCAAAAAACAAGGAAGAATTTGTGTTTTTGGCTGACCCTCCTCCAAACTCCCTTCCTTTTCACATCTTCCTTCCCTCTTCTCTCCCTTTAACCTTCCCTCTCTCACTTCACATCTGGAGGGGGTTCTACCGCAGATCTGTGACTCCTCGCCTGCTATGGGACAGCCTCAGCTTGGACCAGATATCACGCTTCGGTTCTTTTCAGCAAATACTGTTCCACTTTTAGGACAGCTTTTAGGGGTAAAGTAGTGTAGTAACTCTGCTGCATGATTTGCGGTTGGCTGTTATGTTGGACAGAGCTCGCACTGAGTTTCCAGAGTCAAGGTAATTCATTTATGCATGACAGTTCTGCCTTCTGGTATGTGTTAAGACAATCCAGTCAGCTAAATATGAGCAGAGCCTCTTCATAACCTCTGCTCTGCTCAGAAACAGCATGAAAACAGACCAAAGTCATAAAAGTACTCAGTATCTTTATTTTGTACTTTAAGCCCATAAATGACAACTTTTAGCAGGATATTGGTGTTCTCTTACAGATGGCGTTAAACTTCTCTATGACCCTTGGTTGCTATAATGTTTTTATGAAGTCGTCTGTGTGCACTAAGTGCTCGCTGCGCTGAGTCTACTCCAGCCCATATTTTTTAAGCTGTTTGTATTAGCTCTTGCCCTGCGACAGCCTGAAAAGGTTCCTTTGATGGACAGCTTTTAGAAGCTTGCCTTTAGAGCTGCTCTGAGTGCATAACAGTAGTATCTCTGTCAGAATCAGAGGATGTAATGAAGCTGTGTTTTTTTTTTCTTGGACTTGCTCAAGAAAGAATAAAAAAACAGCAATATTTTGCTGAAGAGGTTTGCACACACCTCACTTAAGACTTCAAATCGCAGCAAATCACTGGTGCATTTAGGAGAAACAGAGCAAAAGCCCTAACATGTTATGCTTTTGTTTCTTTAAATTAGACTTTACGTTTGGGAGTTGACCTTCTGCTACTGGTGGAAATGTGCTTATAATGTTTATTTTTATATGTTAGTGATTGATATCCAGACAGATTTGAGGTGAAATATTTTAAATCAACCTGGTTTATATCCAGGCTGTATCTGTGAGAATTTGCTTCATTATAAATTTATTCAGTTTTTCCTGTCATGTTTTTCCTCAAGTGCTTCAGGTAATCAGACCTTTACTATCAGATAAAGATAACCTGAGTAAATACAAAAAAAAAACCCTTTCAAATGATGATTTTGTCTCTTAAAATCCATCCAAATGAACACTATGAGCACTATGTGAGAAGTATGCAGAGTGCTTGCTAAATGAAGAGTCAGCTGTGAATAACCGCATTTCTTTTTGAAACTGAGTTCAGCTTGACCAGAACAACTAATGCTATAGAATCAAGGAATTGTCTAAATAGAAACCTGCCTGATAACATGAAGTAGGTTCACCTGAAGCCAACAGTTGACACTGGGTCATGTAGTTGCTGGACATTTGTATTTGCACACACCTTTCACACACGGCACAGATCACCGTTGAACACCATTTGACCTTCATCATACCCCACACTGACTTCTCCACTCTGTCCCTGCATCCTTCAGTTTGCTTTAACTAACCAGCTACACCATTCTGCAGACTGGCTCCTCTGTGAACAACTACCTCGGAATTTTCATCCAGGAGTTTTTGGCCATTTAACTGTCATTATAGTAGGTATTTTGTAATGACAAAATACCTATTATTACTGCATTTGACAAATGATCCTCAAAAGTATTAGTCAGCTACGATTCAAAAACTGGATAGTGGAAACAGACAAGTTGAAACGAAATATCAACACTGCCGTCCGAGCTCATTTCTGCATAAATACAAACTTCTGACCAATTATACAAAGGATTTCACTGAGCTCTGTGAGAATGAGAGGAAGACTGCGTCCTGCAGGAAGATGCCATATTCGTCATGCGTCTACATTTTGAAGCTATGGATGAAGCACGTCAGAGCCTTTAAGGTCTATGCAAGCTCTGCAAGAACAGAGACATTTGATTTATCTCCCAGTGCTACCAGTAAGAAACGGCACTCTTCTGTTCCTGCAGCCCTGGTTTGGGCTGCAGGATCTCCTTCATCCAGTCTTGAATGAAGGAGATCTCAGAGCAGACAGACATACTGAGGATCAAAGTCAAGAGCTACATAATTTTTTGAGTGCTCTTGCAGCTTGTTCACCCCAACAGACCTGTGAGGCAAAGGCCTTTGAGCACTTCCTGAAAATTCTTCACTTGTTTCTTTTGAGGTATGAAATATCCCAATCAAAAAGTTTCTTTTTTTTAGCCACCTCAAGTATAGCTGACTTCTTCTTGACTAATAATAACATCATTTCAAACATGAGAATGGATTGGCTAGTTTGACAATCCACTGTCAAACTGCTTGGAAGACTTTCATTTCTGTAGTCGGTACCTACAAACCCAAAGATGAACAATTTGGATTTCTTGCTGGAGCATCCATTTGAAAGCCCCAGCTCAAAGGAGAATTGTTGAACTTAATATTGTTTGAATGACTCCTGAGGGAATTCCAAGGAAAACTCTACTGATCATAAAGAAAACACAAAGGCCTTAATAACATTTACCAACCATCTTGAAGATTTCTGACATTAGGAAAAACATATCCTGCTAAGTAATAAGATAGGAATTAAACATTTTGGAATGTGTGTGTCATGATCGAAACCTGTGAGAAAATTCTGAAGATGAATGTCCAGTTTGTGACCTTAAACTGGACATCAGTTTTATCAGTTTTATCAGGCAGTACATCCACTGAGGTGCATGTACTGCCTTGCTTCATGGAATATGCAGCAGGGAAACAATTCAAACCACACAGGCAAGTCCAACTACGAATGACGATATAAAAGAAGGTTCTGAAGTGATGTCGTCAAAGTTCAGATTAAAAACCGTTTGATATCCTGTGGCATGATGGTAAACAGGCTGGTAACACTCAAAAACCTTCTGATCTTCCTTGCAATGTTGCTGAGTTAGCGGGGTGTTTCAAATTTCCTCCACAGTGATAAAAAAAATACTAATTGTCAGTTTTTGCAAATGCCTGGTGGCAGTTGCTGCTGTCAACAGTGGCACAAACAGATATTAGGATTCAGGGGTCAATTACAGTCTCACATAGAGTCTGGTAGGTTTGGATAGCTATTTTCCATTGAAGAAGAAAACCATTTGGGACTGCTATTGTATTTACTCATGTTATCTTTGTCTGATATTTCGGTTTCTTTAATGAGATGAAACAAAACAGGAAAACAGAAGACTGATTGTTGCTTTTTCATTGAACAGTGGAGATAACTGTTGCTGTGTATTTGCTTGTGTATCAGGACAGATCAACAGTAGACATGGACTTTCCAAAGCATTCCATCCTGCAGGCCTTCAGTGTGATGCTCTTGGTGTGGATGCTGGTACGTTGCCAGACCCCAGTGGAACCTGAGGAAGAAGAAGAGGAAGAGGCGGTAAAGGAAGCTGACACTGCAACACTGGTAACAACTGAATGCCCTTCAGAATGCAGCTGCACAACAGAGGGAACAGTGGACTGTGCAGGAGTTGACCTGACAGAGTTCCCCGAAGAGCTGCCTAATAAGATCCGCCAACTTTCTCTACAGGTCCCCCACACACACACACACACGCACATGCGCACACGCACGCACGCACACACACACACACACACACACACACACACACACACACACACACACACACGCACACACACACACACACACACACACACAGTTGTGTTTTTGTGTCTTGTGGGGAATTTACATTGACTTCCATTCATTTTCTACAGCCTAACCCTTGCCCTATTCTTAACCCTAACCCTATCATATCTAACCCCTAACCCATAAACAACATTTCCCCTTATGGGGACCAGGATTTGTCGCCTCAAGAAGCAATGGTCACCACAACCCCACAATGTCAACAGAAATGTGTTCCCACAAGGATATAAAAACCTGGTTCACACGCACCCACACAAATTTGTATTTTTACCCATATTGGTACTTTGCATTGACTGCCATTCATTTCTATAGCTAAACCCAGATACTTACCCTAAACCTAATCACTACCAGCACAAGCATATCCCTAATACTAACCTAAACTGAAATTAGTCATAAACCTAACATCCAACTGAAGAACAGAATTTCTTCTCTTGGGGTCTGGGCTTTGGGCCCTGAGCAGTTGGTCCCCACAACATGGCAGAGTTAGGAAAGTGGCCATTGCTTTGCATAAAATACAAGACCACACACAAGTTTGCATTTCTACCCATACTAGTCATGGTTGGGGTTAATCCAGACAATTTCCCATGACCCTAATCCTAACCTTAACCTAATTCACACCTTACTTCTAAAACCTGATGCTAAATGTAAACAAAGGGGTCTCTGTATTAGGACCAACATTTGGTCCTAATACAATGTTTGGCCCTGATAAGGCTTATCTGTTTTCAAAAGATCCATAAATACAGCTAAACAAGTAGTCACACACACGAACATGCACACACACACGCACACACACACACACACACACACGCACATTGCTCATCAATTTCAGCAGTACACCTACCTATTCATAATCTGAAATTATTGCTCAGAACACAAAGTGCTGAACTTTAATCTGCCTTTGTAAATGTTGCGTATTCTCTTCCCTGATGGCAGAACAACAAAATCAAGAAAATAACAGTGGAGCACATTTCCCATCTGCATCAGCTCGAGACTCTCAACCTCCAAAACAACTGGCTCACCACAGAGGGTAAACACAGTAACCAAGTCTCAACACTATGCAGGAACTCTGTGTTCACTGGGGAGGGAAACTGCAGACATGGTTCCAAGGGCATTTTAGAGACAGAGTGGAATGTTTTATCAGTGCAGTTTTTTTTGTAGATTGGCTGATTGAAGTAAATATCTTCAATATGCACCTGTCAGTAACAGAGGAACTGCTGCTATTTCACTTGTTGCCTGGTTCAGCGGTCTGTCCCAATGTGTGTTTAATTCCAGCAAATAGTCACATACAAGAAATAGATGGCAATGGATGGAGACGAAAGAATCCATTTTTATTGATTTGACAGGTTTCTGAAGTGTTGTTTAAATGACATGGAGTATCGAGTAGCAGGCAATACAGAAACTTAGAAGACAAATTCTTAAAGCAGCATATTTCTTCCTTAAAAAGTATGCTATTAAGACTGCCGTGTGAAAAATGTCATGGTTGGGGTTATTTTGTATGCCTGGTCCTGGATCAGATGTAGAAATTGGGTCATAGGTTTAACCCAGCCATTCACTAAGATTTTTAACCACAGAAATTGGCTTCTAAGATTAATATTCAGCATTAAGCTTACCTAGGAGTGTGTTAATCCAGATTACTTCAATTTAGTTATTGGATTTACTTCAACTCTGCAGCCAGGGAGCCAATCTGCTGAGTCAGCATGAGACAGGCCATGCTATAAACAAACTTCCAATTGGTTACATGGTGAGACAAATTGCGTTTCCATGAACTTAAAATTGCACAAATTGAAATTTCAAAAATAAATGTGCTAAATGGAAACATGCCAATTTAAAAAAAAAAAAAAAAAAAAAAAAAAACGGAACGTTTTTCAAAAAAGGTTTTTTGGCCAGGGAGACGGGGTTTTTTCACC